TGGTTGCAAGTGTGATTACTATATTGCCCACATCTCTTACTTGTGACAGGTGTGTCTAAATACAAATTAAAGGAGCATCACATGCTCGAAAAGCAATTATTTCTTACAATTTAGACAGGGTGCCAATAATTTTGGCCAGTGCATTTTTGGGTTTCTGTGTGGGACTGTATCAGATTTGACTTTTTTTTGGTGTGTTGTTCTAATGCAAACCAAAGAAATGAACATGTGAGTACCAAAACATTTGCTACTGCAACAATTTTCTAAGAGAATGGTTGCATTTTCTGACAGAAATGCAAGGGTGCCAATATTTTTGGCTATGACTGCAATTGTTTTTCAATATATAATTTTCGATGGTCTTTTAAACTTATTATTATTGCATGGTTTTAAATGTGAGCTACTTTGAGTCCCCTATGGGGAGAAAGGGAATGAATGGATGGATGGATGGATGGATGGATGGATGGATGGATGGATGGATGGATGGATGGAGTATTTGTTGAGCTTCCACACTACTGACTTTCACACTTGGGTTTTTCTGATTCCATTCTGCACCTACCAATGTGTTGTCCTGTAATAGAATGCAGGTGTGTGGGCGAGATCATTTTGAGTGTGCTTGCTACATTCTAATCTTGTTCTCAGACAGTCATAAAAGCCAAATTGTTTTAGTAGCAACTGTCCTATAGTAAAAAAAATGGAACTGAATTCCACTATAGAAGTAGCGGTCATCATGTTGCTAATTGAGAAGAACTCCTTCCAACTATGGTTTTAGGATTCAGCAGGCAAAGAAATGTTAAAAGGAGTTGGGGTGGGAATCCAAGATCTGACTGACTACACACAGAGGAATACTCAAGGCGATTCATAACAGAACAGCTATCAGTGGGGAAAACACGATGCATAGCCACTGTCTATAGCTCCCAACTAGGAAACCAGAGGAAACTGCTTACCCACAAATTTCTGAGGTGTGGAGCGTTTTCGTTTGGTGATGCTGTTTGCCAGTCGGTCAATGAAGGTTGGCCGGTCGGCGGAGGAGTGAAGCATGGAGTCCGGCACCATCTCCAAGTCTCGCATCTCGTCACCTGGCAAGCAAATCAACATGGCTTTTTATTTTCAGCTGGCTAGAGTAGTCCTGCCCCATCCTTTCTATGGGCTGAATCAGTCTGTGAAGGCAGCAAGTGGTGCTGATAATTACCTTGTTTGTTGGGGCTAAAAATTTCACCCAACAAAACTAGCAAGGATACCCTTGGCTCCTGATGCTAACCAGTGTATTACAGTAGCCAATTTGGACTGTAGTATCCACTCTAAATCTACTGTAAACATACTAAAAAGCCAAGGACACTTTCCTCAGGCTTATTTGGTCGACCCTGAGAACAGATTTACCTTGCTGGCCAGCCAGCGACTGGGGTTCAGTGTTAAGACTCTGCAGGTAGTTGTGACAACGTTCCTTGTGCTCTTCCAACGTGCTTTGCTGCTTGTAGCTACGACCACAGTAGTTACATTTGTAGGGCTTGCCAACCGTGGGGGAGGAAACTAAAATAAAAGAAAAAAACAAAGGAGGCCCCTAATAAGATTTTGTGAAATATAACAGCAGTCTATGGGGCAGCAAGAAGTGGGAAGTGTGGACAGCTTGCTTGCAGCCACAGAATGGAAAGAGACAGACACAAATGGACATTTTGCTAATGGTGGCCCTTCAAACATACTACATGCACCTTTACAAAGATCTTGGCCCCAGTTTTTTTAAATTACCAAGCAAATGTATAGTGATAAGATGGGTGGAATTGTTCATGTACCAACTACAAACTGGAGGTTATGACAGTATATAGGCACCAAAACTCTGCTAACATCAAGTAAGGCTATTCCTAGCCCTAAAGTAAAAAACAGCCCATCCCCTCCCTGAACAACTCACCTATTCCCCTACTCCTATATGCCGATGACGCTGTCCTTCTATCTCTCTCCAAGCGCGGTCTCCGTAAGCTGCTTTTAACCTTCCAGGAGTACTGTCTTGCAAATCATCTATCCATTAACTCCACGAAGACTAAAATTTTAGTCTTCTCCAAATCATGGACACCATCCCAATGGAAAATACAAAACCTCAGCTTTCAGCAGGTACCATCCTTCAAGTATCTCGGAGTTACATTTCACTACCGCCACTCTTGGTTACTCCACCGTAAATCTGCCATATCCTCAGCTCTTCTATCTCAAAACGCCATAGTCAGATTCTTTTTCAACAAAGGCAACCAATTCATCCCTGCTGCTCTTCAGGCATTCCAACTCAAATCCGTTCCTCAATTACTGTACGGAGCACCCGTTTGGATTGAAGTCGCCAACTCCGAACTGGATCGCTCAATCTCTAAATTTCTTCGTAAGATTCTGGGGATCCCCAACTCAATCAGACTGTCCACGATTGCATTAGAACTAGGTATCCAGCTCCCCTCCACCTCTGCTTGGATTTCTACCTTCAAATTCTGGCTGAAACTTCATCTCAACTCCCACCCAACCTCCATCCTATATGACCTTATTCGTGATTCTCACATATCCAACTGGTTCAAACTAGTAGATGCTAAGCTTTCCACCCTCGACCTATCCCCTGAAACCTTGGCCGACCTTGACCTTCCCAAAGCCCACCTTATCATTAAGTCTAAACTACTAGAACAAGAAACCCGGACCCTCCTACTTAATCTAAATCCCACTTGCTCACCATCTTACTTTGGGCTCCCCCCCTTACTGGGCCACCCAGCCAGTTATCTCTTTCACCTGACAGACCCAAGGAAAAGGAGGGCCTTTCTTCTTGCTCGTTTAAACATCTTCCCATCTGCTTATCACTTTGGCAGATACTCCAATCCCCCCCGATCAAACAGATTCTG